CTACGGACACATTACAATGTAGACATTCCTTCATTTCAGGATTTATCTTCCAATGTCTGCTTGCATTTTTCCAGCCTAAGTCTTGTGTCTAACATTAGGCTCATTTGAATTTTAATCTGTGTCCTCACTGGCTATGAAACTTCCCCAAAATCTTGTCATATGAGAACTTAATCAACATGCCTTTTATTCCCTTCTTTGAGATCTTTAAGGAAGATGGTAAAAAAAAAATCTGGATATAACACTTATCTTTGGAGTCCTTAATAGCCACTTCCTTTCTACTTCATTTTATTATTTATACTCCCTTTTGTTTATAGTCTTTCAGCTAATATTTATTTTGCCTGGCATTACATACAAATTATATGCATGTTAAGAATTTAAAACATATAATAACATTTTTCTAAGTTGCATTTAAATTACATCTGTCATTTTCCCATTGGCTGCCATTTTCCTAAAATTCACTGATGTTTGCTCTAATTATGTATTGTTTGAGAGTAACATTTACTTTTGGGGGGGAGCAATTTCTTTTCAATTGTTTTAATTATTCTGCAAAGTAAGAACTTTTAAAAAGACACCTGGGCAACACAGTTTTTTTATGATGACCAGTATTACTTACTGGTCTTATTTCCATTGTGTCCTAAGTCTGCTGCGGTTTTATTCACCTAAGTAATTGTTCTAGTAGCTTAGCTGATGGGAGGTGGCTGAAATGCCAGGATTGCTCTGCTTTCCTTCTTTGGTTATGTGGTTTCTCCTCTCCTAGTGCCTTCTGCTAGTGCTTTCTCACTTCTTCCTTAGCTACGTATATTCATACTTCTTTCATATTTTGTACTTTATTATTGATTTGCTCAAATTAAAGATCTGATGGCCACCGACAGAACTAGAGGTAATGGCCACAAACTGAAGCACCCAAAGTTCCAAAAGGAACTTAAGGAAATTTTTTTTTAACAGTGAGGGTGCCAGAGCACTGGAACAGGCTGCCCAGAGAGGTTGTGGAGTCTCCTTCTCTGGAGATCTTCAAACCCGCTTGGACGCAGCCCTGTGCCACGTGCTCTAGGTGACCCTGCGTGTGCAGGGGTTGGACTGGGTGACCTCGAGAGGTCCCTTCCAACCTTAGCATTCTGTGATTCTGTGATTCTATGAAATGCAGGAAGGATGGGAAAGCCGCAGAGAAAGAGAAGAGTCTGGAGTATCGCTGCTGTCACCAAGGGGAAGAGAGCAGTGGGGCAGCATTCACTGCTAATGCTCCTGTGGTTTGTCTGCTTATTTTGTGGGGTGTAATATTGCTGATTCACATTCAGCTCATCCTCTCTTATTTTTTTTTTCCAAAAACTACTCTTTAGACAGTTGTTCTCAATCCTATATTTAAGAGGTGACTATTCCCACCTTGATGTGAAACATTACAGTGTTTCACATTGAACTATGCCTGGCTTTTCATACTACTTCTCCAGCTTCTCAGGGTTTTAATTTTAATCTTCTCTCCTGGTATACTTATAATGCTCCCCCCCAACTTTATGCTGCTAGCAAATTTAATAAGCATGCTCTCTTGTTCATTATTGAGACTGCAATGAGAATACTGAATAATTCTGAACTGAGGACCTAGTTGCTATCTCCTTCCCCAAGCCTTTTCTTTTTCTTGAGAAAACATTATTATAATAAGCAAAGTTACTACCTTGGGACATTTTTCTGCCTGATTTTCAGTACTGATTCCTATGCTATATTACATCAGCTCTAAAACTGTAGAGAATATTTTAAGTTATTTAAAGGTTATTTTAATATTTCAGTGGACAGAACCCTGTTGAGTTGGGTGAAAATTGGATGAGAGATACCATGCCTCTTTAGGACAAACAGCAGTTTTATCTACTTCTCTAACTACCTGTAGGTCAGAAAAATTGAGGTAGCTACAAACATATCCTCAAAAAACACCACCTTATCTTTCCCAGCTTTTACAGCCTGATGGCTATAGTTTAAAAATATCAAAAGCTGAAAAATAACAGAATTATAAAACAAAAAGAATAATCCAACTGGTTGGACAGAGGTGGCCCCCAGAGCTGTGAGAGGCGAGAAGGGAGAATTTCAGGCTTTCCTTAAATAAACTTGAGTTGGAGGGTATCACAAAGGGAGTTTGAAGGGAGCAAGGAGGGACAGAGCCTCCCTCTCCCTGAACATGAGAGGGCAGAAGCGCCACAGAGCCGGTCCTGGCTGCTGCGTGTCCTGGGCCAGACACATCTCGGGGCTGGCAGCAGCTGGGGAAGGGAAAAGTGTTTGTGGGGAATCTGGCAGTTTTTAAGCATACTGATTTTCTAAATGTTACGAGAAAATGTGAGGGAAATAGGGAAAAAGGGTCCGTTTTAAAATACAATAGTTTTCAATGCCAAGTGGTTATAATCAGGGGGCATTGCCCTTGCCCTTCTGCGCACGTTTCCTTTGCAGTACTGGGCTGAGCTTGAGGCCTCAGCTCGGTGAGGCTGGGCACATCCCTTCAGCTCATCTAGGCCTTAGTTTCCACTGCCCAAAATATGCTAGTTTATATTGCCTTCTTTGCTGGAGTGCTCGGAGAACTATCCTAAAGCTGAGCGCCAAGTTTTATTATTGCGTGAACGGTTTTTGTATCCCTCAGAATTTGCTTGTCCTGCCTGTGGCAGCAGTGGATGCTCCGTGCCCGACTCCCAGGCGACTGGCCCAGTTATGATGCCGTTTTAGGGCCGCGTCCTAGACGCTCCCGTGGGGAGCGGCCAGCAGGGTGCAGCCTCTGGCTCGGCCGCGCTCCATGGGAGCCTCCTGCCCCACGGCCCCCCCCGC